GGGGGTTCCAGTGGGGGGGCTGATCTGGTCCCTGCTCAGGAAAATGGAGGCAAATAAATTGTTAAATACGTTAGCTTTGTCATCTGGTGTGATGACCAGATTTCCTAGCGTGTCTTGAAGGGGCCCCACGTTACCCGGTACCTTCTTTTTGCCCTCTATGTATTTAAAAAAGGACTTCTTGTTGTCCTTTATCCAGGTCGCTAGTCCCAGCTCCAGCTCCTCCTTGGCCTTCCTGACTGCCCCCCTGCATCCCCGAGCAACTGAGGTATAGTCCTCCCTGGTGATATGCATATAGGAAGTTACTGTAGCATAGCTAGTGTGTGGCAAGTCTCCACCTTTTACTTCGTAGTAACCAGTTCATCTGCCCACACCATAAACCAAATCAATAAACTTTTAAGTTCTAATACTGGGTAAAATTAGTAACTTCATCCCAGAGAAACAGTTTTAAATGCTACATCTTTTGCAATGTAGGCCTTATCCATCTCCAAGGCACAGTGGCTAGTAAAGCAAATCAACATGTAAATAACAGTTTTGTATCAGCACAGTGCAGGGTTCAAAAGGGCTTGCAACAAGAAATAACCAACTGCTATCCATAAAGATTATAATTCATTGGTAGCAACCCATCATCAGATTAAAGTTTAAAAAAACCTGATGTACTATTCAATTCCCTCAGCTCTCTCATTTTGTTTTAATGATTCAACAGATTGAAGTCCATACCTGCTTTGAAGAACAGATTTCTGAGCACCCAGGATGGCGATTTCATCCTTCAATATTTGAATCTGTTGTTCATAGTCATTCAGATGGCCCAGATTCCTCAGAGCACTCTCCTCCTTTGCTTGGGAAGCCTTCAGACTTAACCCCAAAGAATAAAGATGGTCACAAGAAGTCCTGCTACAACTGTGAAGAATCTATTTATTAACTGATATTGTATATAAAAAACCTTTGTGAAAATGGTGGGGAGTTTGACTTCTATGGAAGAGACATTTAGAAATTCAGCATTAGCAATAAACTGCCAAGCAAACCACAATTTCTTTATTTTTCCTTTAACTGCTACTTTAAGACATAAAAACAGTGTTGCAGGAGCCTTTGTATTCCAAGTCTTGTCTTTGAGAGGAAGTACTAGTTAATCTTATACATCTTTATAGACAAGGTTCTTTGGGTAAATGTGATATTCTTTTATTAGAAAAGTTCTTTGCAAGCTTTTGGGCACAAACACCCTTCTTCAGGCATTGGAAAGAGTCTGCTGTTGGTTTGAGTGCTCTTTGTAGAACTTTAGATGACTGGGATCTAGAAAAGAAGTTACTCTTTGTCCTGTGTAGGCCAATTTAATTAGAAACTCAAACCTTAAAAAAAGAAAAGGGGTTTATGCTGTTTTATTATTTATATCAGGTCCTCCTTTTCCTCTCTTTACTGGAGTTTTTTGGCAAGGCCCTGGGGAAGCCTGAATAATTATGTTACTTGAGGCTGTTAAATGAAGCTCTCCCTGTCCCACAAAAAATGAGGTGCTAACTCTTAAATAGTGGCAGATACTATGTCCATTAAACCTACACATATTTATATACCGTCTTTTACTGCTTATTTACTATTTCTTGTAAAATAAAATGTTTCCAAAATTCAGTGGGGCAACCACTCCCAAAATATTGGAATCGTAACTCCCTCTGACCTTTCTTCAGCAGACAAGGGGGAAAGCACAGAAAGATAGCCTGGTTTCTTCTCAGGAGTACTCTATTTATCCTGAATGAAGGGGAGAAGTGAGGTAGTTACAGCCCTTCCTACTACATAACTAAAAGGTGAGTGAGACTAGCTTCAAGTCGAGGCTTCTTTTCTGACAGAAAAGATAAAACTGGCCTGGGAGTGAGATGAATAAATTGGCACTACCATCAGGCCAGGATTTAGACTACAGAGGCAGATAGACCTTAAGGACTTTGGGAAATGGAAAGAATCCGCCTCCTGTCAGCTGCCACCATGTTGACCCAGCTCAGTATCTTTTAAGAGGCAACCACTACACTTGGAAGCCAAAAGAGCATTTATAAATCAGAGGCATTAACATTACAGAAGATCACCACCACCTCAGCACACACCCAGCAAAAAGAATTGGCAAAACCAGCCTGGAGGCCCTCCACATAGATAATTTTAATCTAAGGAACTTGAAACATATTTTATCTAACATGAATACGTTACTTCCAAGAAAAGCGTAATAGCATGCTATGGACAAAATGTCTACAACCTGAATTCAAACTGAGGTTTCAGTGAAAGCCTATCTTTCTCTTATATCAGCTCCACTTGTTGTATCCAAGTACTGTCAAGCTGCTGGCTTTAAAGTACATTATATCTAAAGAAAGAGGGGCACAGGAAGGTCGGCCAAAGTATGAATCTTGTCACACTGAATCTACTTCAGCTAAGCCTTAGGACCTCTCTACACACAGAGCCAATGCTCCCACCATCTGGCTGTTAACAGAAAGCAGGAAGTCTCCAAACCAGAAGATTTATTTTTCACCTCATTTTCCTTGGAGCATCCCCAGAGATGGTACATTTCCAGACAATGCTGAGCAAAATCAGAGTTTAAAACCAAAGTTCACACCTAAATAAGTCCTGACAGCTGGAGGATGGAGGTGCGGGGGGAATATTTATTTCCCCTCCCCTACCCCTCCCCACCTCCGCCAAAGAGATAAATAAATAAATAAAAAATCCACTAACCTATCCAACTGCTACAGACTAGAAGACAAGTGAGCTGGGTCATTCAGCCAAAGTTATAAGAGGAACAATGAACACGTTACAATTCTTTGCCTTTTCCTGTTTGAGCCTGTTGTTAAGAGGAGTTACACACATAGTTTTGGAGAAGCACAGGAATATTGAGCATTGTAAATAAAAAACACACACACAGAGAAATCCCAGGTTTTGCCTTTGTGTGCTGCTGTGCTGCCACAACACCCCTACATCAGATTGTTCTTACGCTGTTTTTAGCTGAACAATTTCATCCTCTGCTGCCAAAAGGGTAGTGGCTGATTTGGTCTTTGTGTCTTCAAGAGCCAACTGGGCTTCTGCCAGACTGCAAGAAAAATCAATAACCAGAAATACACCTTTAATGCAAAGGTACAGATCCTTCCAGTGAATTCAGCATGTCAGAATTGATTATTTGAGCAGATTTTTCTTTCTGGCAGATCAACTGCTTGCCAGCACATGAAAATCATCACACAGGACTTGAGCGCACTCTAGCTGCCAAGCAATAGTTTGTGAAAGTCCTACCTGACTAAACTATAACAGAGCTACTGTGTTACAGTCCATTACTATTCATCTTATACAATTCCAGCTCCTTTCCCAACTTAGACCACCCGGTTTATTTCCACTGTCCATTGTGTCTGACACAATCTTTAAATATTGAATCCTCCTATTTCCACATCCGCAAACATGCCTATCACTAACTCCACAACAATGCCTGTGTATTCCACTGTCTTGAAGAAACATCACTGCTAAAATGTTCATGGGTTATTTTATGCATATATTGATTCAACTATTGCATATCCTTCCCTAGGTCTCTGCTCCCTAGAGCCCTACATATGCAAAATACTGCCGCCCTCTTTCATACATGAATTGTACTAAGTGCAATCATTCTACCATCATGCTGTACTGTTACCATTGCTTCCCTATTCATTATAGGTTCCATGTCTTGTGTAGACATGGCCATAAACTAACTAAATCAGATGTATAAGATTTCATAAGCAGTATCTAATGAAGCAAGCTGCTGCTTACAAGCTAGGTATCTCTGATTTAGTTGGAACATTAAAGTACAAATCTACCCAACCTTCTGCCTGAAACACTATAAGAAATTAGATATAAACAATGAAAACCACTCTGTCTTCCTTGTCTGGCCAGTCACCTTTCATATCAAATTAATATTAGCTTTGGGCATGTCTACACTTGAAATTAATGAGATGCAATAAACTCTGATTCAATTCGGATTTGGAGATTCGGCCAGTGAATTGAGCTGAATCTCCTCTGAACCGAATCACAACCAGAAGCTTCACGCAGCCCTACTATTTGATGTTTACAGTGTTTGTAATTACTATAGGATCAATAATTTCCTCCTTTCTTCAATCCCTAAAACATTGGTTTGAAGTATATGGTATTTTTTACCACTGAGATACTCTCTCTCCCTAACTCTGGAGATAGGCAATTTTATTGTGCCTATCCTCAACCTTTGATCCTATCAGCTACTTAGCTGTGGTGACAAACTGACAAGAGTGTCCAGGAGAAAGCCCTATAACCTGGTTCTTCCCTTGATAAATCCCAACAAGTGGCAAGGAGAAGACCTCTCTATTCTTCCAAAAAGACTTTTGTACATTTCTGTCCTCTCATATCTGAGGTTCAATATAAATTTTATGTACCATGGAGGAGACTGAGTAGTTTTGTCCTTCACTATTATAAACAGACAGTTGACCCTCAGCTCTACATCAGCTTGTCATTTTTATGGATACAATGACCTTTATTTACCTAGTTTCAGAAGGAGTCACAGAATGAATAAAAATGAGTTATGATCAACCAAGGCTCTCAAGGAATCCATGTCAAAGCACTTGGAAGAGAAGAAGGTGATTAGGAAGAGTTAGCCTGGATTCAAAAAGGGTAAGTCATGCCTGACAAACCTTATTGCCTCCTATGATGAGGTAACTGGCTCTGTGGATGTGGGGAGACCAGTGGATGTGTTATACCTTGATTTCAGCAAGGCTTTTGATACAGTCTCCCATAACATCCTTGGAAGAAAGCTAAGGAAGTATGGGTTGAATAACTGGACTGTAAAGTGGCTAGAAAACTGGCTGGATGGTCAGGCACAGAGGGTAGTAGTCAATGGGGCTCAATGTCTAGTTGGCAGCCAGTATCAAGTGGACTGCCCCAGGGGTCAGTCCTGGGGCTAGTTTGGTTCAGTATTTTCATCAATGACCTGGAAAATGGGATGGACTGCACCCCCAGCAAGTTTGTGGATGATACCAAGCTGGGGGGAGTAGTAGATACACTGGACAGTAGTGTCACGGAGCGGTGACCCAGGAGCAGCCATGATCTCTCCTGGCACCCCTACTGTGCCAAGTTGCCCATCTAGCACCCTTGTTCTCACCTGCCACGACTTTGATGGTTCTATAGTATTAATGGGAGGCTGCCTTTACTTGACCCCTTGGACCCGGTGCTCTCACCCTTCTGGTCCCTACTCTATACCAAACAGGTTCTGGTGCCCCAACCCTATAGGCGTCGCATGGCTCCTTCCACCCCCAATACCACGCCCCAAGCCTCTCAGCTGTTCTGGACATTATCTCGTCAATGCTCTTGCCCAAGTGACCCCTCCGGGGCGACTCACTCGTATGCTCGCCCCCACCGGGCTCCCTGATATCTCGTACGCGCCCCCACCGGGCTCCCTGATCTCGTACACGCCCTCTCCCAGTCAGGGCTCAGGTGGCCTCAGCCTAACCTGACCTTCAGCCCCCTTCCTGGGTCCTATGCCCTGCTCGGGCTCCTCCTGATACCGCCCCACTGGGCTGGGGTCGGGACACCCCAAAACGCAGCGCCACTCTCCAGCGCTCAACCTGCTGTGCCTTCTCTGGCACCAGATTGCTGTGCCCTCCCAGGGCACCAGGAAACCCCATGCTACTGGGGAGCTCCCCTGAGGCCTCCTCCAACCCCTACAGCCTCTCCGGGTCCTCCGGTGTTACACAAACAAAACAGAAAACAAAGCCATAAGCCAACCGGCTGTAACACAAAATAAGCCTCCTGGCTATAACATAAATTCTCTGCTACCCTAGCTCTCCTTCATCCCTGCCTGTCAGGGTTCTCTCCACCCTGCACCCTCATGTAGGCAGTCAGGCTGCTCTGCCCTGCAGCAGAGCTCCCACTACTCAGGCTGCCAGAAGGGAACTGCCTGCTAGGCTTCAGCCTGGGCTGTTTATATACTCCAGGCCCTGCCCCCTCCTGGTCAGCTGACCACCCGCAGTTGCCCCAGCAACCAGCACCTGTATCCCTTCATAGGAGCAGGGTGCCAGAGTGCCCCTGCAACACACCTCCCCCCTTAAGTTCAAGACTCACCGGGGCCGCTCTTCAATTTTTCGAGGTGTGGTATCCCTCAAGGGTTCTTCTCTTGGCTTTTCCTTCAATCTCCGCCAGCTCACATACTGGAGGCAGAGGTTTTTAGGCGTCCCCAACTCGCCTTTTCCCCAAGGCGCACCACGTGGGATTTTCTGGGATGTACCTGCCACAGGTAGTCCCCCCACATTAGCCAACCTTGGTAAATTGTGCCCTTCACTGGCTAAGCTTCTGTCTTTTTCCACCCACCTGGGTCCTTTCTTCCCGGTCACTTGTCGGGTTCTCGCTCTCTTCCCATCTTCCTGGATGTCTTGGAGCTTGCCCCAGACCTCCCACTGGCAATTCAGTGCCTTCTGGGCATCTTCTTCATTCCAAAATTCTACACTCCCTGGCCAGTGGATCTCCCTCCAGGCCTCTCATAAATTTCTACATAGGCCACCCTTCCTATTCTGGCCTCAAGGACCCTTCTCAGTGTCCTCCACCTAATTTTTCTGGGCAGGCCATTCACATATAGCTGAGGTCTTTTCTTAGTCTCAGGTCTTCCCTTAACTGATTGCTCCTTCTTCCTTCTCTCCAGACCCTCAGCTCTATCTTCTTTCTTGGGCTGAACTGTTCCCCTGTTCATGGGGCCTATTTCTGACTTCTGCAGTCTTGGGCTGGGGATTTTCACGGTCTTTCCTCTATATACCCGGCAGGAGGTCTCACTCTGAGGGGGAATACATTTGTCTATCCTTGTTGTTTCTCCCCCTATTAGGTTGGTTATTTCTAGCTGCTCTGACCCCCGTACGGCTCTTTCTCCCTTACTCTGCCGGAAGGATAGCTCCCTCAGTTGATATCTTAACTGGTTCATTTCTTGGACGTGTCGGTCCCGCCACTGGTCCCACCTTAGGTCCTAATATTTCTGGGCTGCCGACAGAGCCTCCCTTTTTAAGGCCTCCAATTTCTCTTTTATGGAGCTCTCTTCCTTAGGACTCCTCCCTGGCTGTTCTGGCCCAGCTCCCTCTCTAGGGCCTTCCAGATTCTTGGCCCCGGGCAGTTCTTTCCTCTCTAAGCATCGCATAAGTTTGGGCCAGATGTTCTCAACTTGTGCCTCTGCCTGCCTCAGATACTCTATGAGTAACCCCCTCTCCTGTAGCTCAGATTTAGCGGCTCTCACGTACCCCGCTAGTTGAATTTCAAGAGCCTCCAGCCTTTCCCTTAGGGTATTCGTATTCTTCACAGTCTGCAGTTCTTGCCCTGCTATTCCTTTCTCCTTTGACCTCCCAACTTCCTTGAGCTCTCGGATGTTCCTGGCCATCTGATTATTTGCCTCCTGCAGTCTTTTATTGTCGGCCTCCTGGTTTATCATAAAAGCTTTTACATTTTCCATTTCCCGCGCTATCACCTTGCTATTTTCCTCCATTTGGATACAGCTTTCACTTAGTTCTTTTTGCAGCTCATCAACCAGACATTCGGCCCCCAAGCATCTCTCCTGCCATCTCTCCAGGTCCTCATGTAGACCTTCTATCTGGTCCACTTGGGTGTGGACTTCCTTTTGTAAGACTGCTATTATGCCCCTGGCCACCTCCAGCTTCTGCTGCATCTCCTGCTGTTCCCCGGCCTGAGTTATGCAGGCCTCAGCAGACCGTGCCATCCAGGCTGTCATCTCCGCCTGCATCTTCTGCAACTTTTCCTCCCTCGCCTAACTCTTCTGGGCTTCTTGAGCCAGCAACCTTTCTATTTCTCGCGTCTTTTCTGCTTCCACCGCCATCCAGCGTCTAATTTCTTTTGTTCCCCCTTCTTTCTTACTTAGCGATGTTTGTCGCTCCAGCGTCGCTGCCTTAGCCTCAGCTCCCTTTCTCTGGGCCTCTGCTAGGGCTAGGTCACGCTCTAATTGGGCTACCTTTTCTTTCATTTCCTCGATTCTTAACTGCCCAGGAAAATTTTCCGGCCCCTGGCCGTCCGTCGTTACTTTCCGTGCCATTATTGCCCTGACTTCGTCTTCCT